AACGACAAACAGGCCTGAGCACAGCCACGTCTGAATGACTAATGTTTTTCCAACCCAGAGTGACATTAGCCGATTGATAACTATTTTCCCCTCAAACCAAGCAAAATCAGCACTCCTCTCCCTGCCGTGTGCCAGAACCCGAAGATGAAAAAAATAGGCTTTCGGAGAGGCCTGAGTCAGAGAACTGCGCTCAGCTCTGGGCTTCAAACCAGAGCAGGACTGCAAAGGATGAGGCGAAATTGCAGAGACCCGGGCAGGGAATACAGATGAAGGGAGAGCAGGGCCCCTGAAGAATGGACAAAGAACCAGGACCGCCGTTGGGGGAAGGCTGGGATCAGGGGGTGAATTAATAAGAGTCGTAAAAGAAGGCTTTTTAATCAGAGAAGAGCTACTGCTTTAAGATGCAACCTGAAACAGTTAAAATCTGACCATGAGTTCTTAAAAAAGTGGTAAAGTAGATAACCTCTAAACGTTTCTCTGTTTACCCTGAAAGGGGTGAAGGAAAGGCCCTGTTTCCAAGTCCAGATCCTGTAACCGCGGGCACCGTTCAGAGAAGCACCGCACAGCTCTTTCAAACTCTCAGCCGGGCAGTTTGAAGCTTTGAAAAAGCACATCATAGTTTTGTCCACAGCTGTACTTCGAGCACATCCTATACCACTGGCTCTTCCACGGATTTACTGGGGTTAAAGTGCCTAAAAGTCAGCAGGAAGGATTCAACGACCTTGTTAGCCTGAAAGCTGGGACGACAGACTTGAGGAGGCGGGGGACCTGGGCACACTTTCTGTTCCTGTAAAAACCGAGCCGCGGGCCGCCTGGGTCTCCCGAGTCCCCACGGGGCGCGGGGCAGGCGGCGGGGCGCGGGGATCGCAGATGGGCGGTGGCCGCAGGGGACGCGCGCGGGCGCCCGGGGCCGGCGCTCAGGTGGGGCTGGCGCTGCTCGGCAGCTGCGCCCCGCGCCTCCGCTCTGCGCTCGGGGCCCCGCATCCCCACCCCGGCGGCGCGCTCCGGGCCCCGCATCCCCGCCAGAGGACCGGCCGGGGGTGGGGGCGCCGGCCTAGGCGCTGGACCCGTGCCAGGCCTGGGGTCTTCGGCGCGCCGCCGCTTTCCAGTCCGCCGGCCCGGGCAGGGCAGCCCCATCCCCACCCGCTCCCGGCCCGTCACCCTCCCGGATCCTTCCCGTTCCCTTCTTTGCTTCCCGCTTTCCCCAGAGAAACATGGCCGGGAGCAGTGAGGAGGCGCCAGACTACGGGCGAGGCGTCGTGGTAAATGCAGACTCCGATTTCGGGGCCGAGTCGCGCGCTCCCCGCGCTCTTCCCTCCCCTCCCTTCTTGGCAACCCCCTACTTGTAGATTAAACGGCCGAAGGGCTTTCGGGTGACGGCCGGCCACAGCTTTTGTTCTTCCCTCCCGGCCGGATCGCTTCCACCCTCCCCCTCGCCCCGGCGCCCAACCCGACCCCACACTTAACATCCCTTCACCCCGTGTTCTCTGTGTTCCCTCCGCACCCCTCTCTCCTCCCCCCGGCCCCGCCAGGAATCCTATACTCCAGCGTTAAGCCTGTCCAGTGCCGGGTCCCCACTCCTGCTGGCCACCAGGAGTCACCGTCACCTCTGGGCGCGGGGCGGGCCTGCGAAGACCCCAGCAGGCCTCCTCACTGGAGGATTCTCCAGGACAGCTAGGAAATAAAGTGGCTGTAGCAGACGGAGTTTGGGCTTTGGAACCTGGGCTAGGACTTTCTGTGGGGCCCCTGCACGAGCTCGGGACACCCTGGCGCCGCTCGAGCGGCCGTCAGTTTCTGCAAAAGGGAAACACGGCAGGCTGGGCCCGTTAAGCCAGCTGGAGAAGATGTATATATCTAGTACTGTGTCCGGATGAGAGGATGTGGGATGATGGGGTCCTAGACCTCAGCCTGTTTATCCCTGGGAATCCCCTCAAAGTCAACCATCATTCAGTGGGTACCCTTCCCTCCGTGTCCTGGAATCAAACCTGGTCTTGCCCTGTGGCCGCTGGCACCTGCTGGGTAGAGAACAGTTTCTGTGGAAGGTGGTGGTTTTAATGTGGCAGGTTTAAAGTGAAACGGGATACGGGTGGTGGGTGGGGCGAACTTGCTACATTAAGATTCTTGGTTCAGAGATCAGCCTGTAAAGCACAGATAATCTGTCTGTGAGGGTGAAGGGACCACGGGAGTAGGAGGGTCCCGTTGGGAAGCACCTCACACTCTAACCCAACTGTCTGTTCAGGTTGAACTGTGTTGCCCAACACTCAGTTCACAGCCAGGCCTTTCCTTTCTAAAGGAGAAGTTCATTTATGTTTTTATTCCAATCATATTGACTGTCCTGCTGGGTTCCAGGTGGTGTTCTAGATTCTGGGGAAACAAGAAAACACCCAGTCTTCATGGAACTCACATTCTAGAGGGGAACAGAGACAAGCAGTGTGAAAGCAAATAAACAAAGAAGATATGTTCCTAGTGATACGCACAATGAAAAGAGAAGAGAGCAAGGAGATAGTGATTGGTGGAGGGCTGGGGATGCTGCTTTAGCTCAGAAGGTCAGGGCGGCCTCTCGGCGGTAACATGTGAGCCAAGAGCTGAAAGCTAAGCAGGAGGTAGCTGTGTGAAGACTCTGGAGGAGGGTACGCCAAGTCAGCACAGAGTCGCTAGACTTTCTGAGAAGAAATCATGACATCCAGCTTCTGCTTTAAAAAAGAAAATCGCTCCAGTTGTCATGGAGATGATGGTCAGTCCTAGGAGTTGGGTGAGTTGAAGGAGAATGAAAATGTAAAATGGGAAATCATTAAGTTCCGTTCTGGACGAGCTGACTCTATCGTGCCTGTGAAGCTTACAGGCTTACAGTCAGGATGCTTGGGAGGCAATTTGAAATTCGTATTTGGAATGCAGGAGGGTGATTATATAGCTTTGGGAATCGTCAGCAAATAGAAAAATATCTGATGCTTGCAGCGGATAGGGATGCACAGTGAACATAGGGGGGCGAAATGTAAAACTGTTGTTAAGGGTAGAAATCTAGGAACTCCCAAATGTAAGAGGCAATGTCTGGGAGAAGCCAGATAAGGAGACCAAGAATGGATACAAAGCAGCAGAGAGCAGACAGAGTGGCAGGTGCCTAGGAAAGAGTTCTGTGGAGGTGAGGGGGCTAGGAGGTCATCAGGAGGGTCAGATGCTGCAGAAAGAGTAAGTAGGATCAAGATGCAAAAGACAATTGCAAAGCCATTAGTAATGAGAATCTTCTGAACAATTATTCCATCAGTGGAATGGTTAAAATATAGTACTATTATTTAATAATGGATTCTCTTAAAAAGGAATGAGGTAAATTGATATGACTAAAAGGAACAGTAGATCATTAAAGTCTCAGAAGCAAATGATGGAAAAGTAAATAGCTCAGTCTCTTGGTGTTAAAGGAAGCCCTTTCGAAAGCAAGGTAATCTGATGAAAGATGCAGGGGGGTAGGGAGAAGGTCCACTGATGTTGGAGGTAATCAAGGTATATTGGAGATCGTCCCTGCATTCGTGTCATTTCCTCCAGTAGAACTTGGGATAATTAGATTAACTTCAAGTTGGATATGGGCAGGCAAGGCAAATTCAGGATGAATTCAAGGTGCTGGTGGGAGCCAACGGCATCTAGGGTTGAAAGAGGGATAGGATAGCTCAGGGGGGTGTGTACACTGGGAAAACAGAGAGCCCCCAAGGATGGGTGGGAAAAAGATCAAAGGGAAGTTATAGTACCGGTGAAAAAAAGGGGCAGGTAATAATAGCAAGCATTTATTGAGCACCTAGTGTCTGGCTTTCCTGTATGATTCATGTAATCCTCACAAATCTGTGAGGTAGGGCTACTACAATCCCCATTCTACAGGGGAGGAAACTGAGGCACTGATAAGTAATCGCCCGGGTCACATGATTAGCAAATGGCGGAAGCAGGAACTGAAGCCAGCTTTCCATCACTGGCTGCTTAGGAAGCTGTGATTCTGGGGAAGAATCTCAGAGGTGGGGCTGCTGTGGTGGACTGGATGTGGCAGAGGTGGAATAGAGATGAAATCCTTTGAGTCAAGGTAGATGAAGTTGCTATAAGTTGGAGATGCTAGAATGATCGTCCAGGTTGGTACTGGAGTGTCTGGAAATGAGGTAGAGAAAACCATTCTGAGTTGGTAGAAACTTAGCAATAAGGATGACAAGGGGCATAGAGCCAGATGACTTAAGCATAAACCAGGAAGTACAGTTTGTGTAAGAGAAACGAATGTTAAGAGACTGGAGGTGGCTCTTGTCTACAGATGGCTTTCAGCTGAATTGGGGAGGTAGGACATTGGTAGATGATTAACAATAAATGCGAACAAATGCCAATTGCCACATCAGAGATGTAGATCCTGAGTTCACAAACTTGACTCAGGGTAGACTGGTCACTGGCGTCCCCCTTACCTCCCACTCGGTTGGTGTCTCTTTGTTACTTCATGGGGAGAGAAAAAAATCTCTACCCATCTGGCCTTTGGGGATCAGAATATTAGATATGTTTTGTTTTTACAGAACCATTATCAAAAGAACCATAGTTGGTACCTACCCATGTGAATTTGGTAGGAATAAAGAGAAAGAGAAAATCTAAAATGGTTCTGTTTCTGTTATGGTTTCTGCCACCACCCCCACCCCCAGTAGAAATGCGGCAGGAATGAGATAGTCCGTCTAAAACACAACTTTACTAGTGTAGTGAGTTTCACCTTCCGGGTGTAGAACCCAGCACGGAAGAGGAAAGCTTGCGGAATACAAGATGTTATTTGTTCTGTTAAGCCTCCTTCATGCCTCTGGCAGCAGAACCCAGGGCCCTTCTTTTAGGAGACCACGTCAGCTCGTTTCTCCATGTGGCTCTGAGGCATCCGTCATGATGCACCTCCTTCCCCGGCTCCGGGGGCTGGACCAGTGACCCCAGCTGGGCCAGTTGATATTCTTGTCTGGGATTCCCAGAAGCAGAGCTGAGGGATAAGACTCCCTTCCTCTCTAACGGTGGACGGGTGGATATGAACCTGAAATTGGTGGCCACCGTGGTCACTGCGTGAAGGGGAGAGTGGGGCCCAGAGGCTGGGGCTTAGCAGCAGACAGGAGCAGAGATTGGCTTTTTGTATGTCTTTCTTAACTATTTTTCTCCCTGAGGGGAGACAACTTGGAAAATAATGTAAGAAATATTCTAAGCAAAACTTGCTTTTAATAACTTAGAAAGAAGGTTTTCCATATATCTTCAAATGAAGGAAAGAGAGTCCGAAGGAGTTCTGGGGCTTGGATGTTGTATAAGACGGCTCGGTTAATGTGTTTGTCACTTCCCCAGCTTGGCCGTGTTTTGCGTCTTTGAACAGAGAACGCATTGTTCTGAATAAACTTAGAGCATATTATCTGTGATACTGAAACTATTTAAAGACTTCTTGTTTTGATTGTTCAAAAAGCAGATGAATAACACAATTATCTGCAGTTCCTAACAGCCCCTGTCCCCTCAGGTTTAGGACGCATTTACAGTGCAATTTGCATGCACTATTAAGGATAAACCAGTGGTTCCCTTATCTCTGGTTGTCTTTCATCTCTACAACGAAAACTCACTATTTCAGACTCTTGGGAAATAGGCAGGTTTGGCTTATAGAATGGTTTTAGAGAAACGCATTTCTTCTACTTTTAAATTCGCAGCTTTAACTCGGGTAATAGGACTTTGGCAAACAGGTTAGAGTCACATCTTTAAATTAATTAAAAATATCATTTGTAAGTAAACTATTGATGTTTTAGTGCATCTGACTCGTTAACATCCATTGCAGAGTACCACCAACCAGGTCCTGATGGGAGAGTTTTATATCCATTATCTATCTTATTTAATCCTTGAAATAAGCATATGAGGTAGTCATTGACTCCATTTTACTGGTGAGAACACTGAGACCCAGAGAGGTTAAAAATGCGCTACGTCCCTTTACAGCTAGTCAGTTCACCCCCAGGTGTGTTAGACTTCTGATCTAAGCTCTGAACCATTACTCCATGCTGCCCCTGAGCAGATTACCAGTACAGTTTTTATCTGTAGGTTTGTTTTATTTGTCTTTTTATCGTTCTTTTCCTTTTTGTTGACACCATTTATTAAGCATTGATTATATGCCTGGAAATGTACTCTAAGTATATTATCTGTTCTATCTTTTTATCCTAAAAATAAGCCTGCCTATCAGTTTTATTGTGTCTCATTTAAAGAGGGGTGGGAATTGCGTCTCAGAAGGAATTTTCCTAACATTGTCCGTAGTAAGGGTCAGAGCTGGGCTCTAGGACATGGACTGGAGTGTAGTCTCTGAGATTCAGCCAGAGCCAGGGGCACTAAAGGATTTCCATGGTGGGAGGAATGACCACTGGTTCATGATGCCACCACGGGAAGGGCTCCAGGAGGTGGTGTGGGCAGTGTGTGTGGTCTGTCGGGGGGGCCAGAAAGTGCTGTGCCCTGCGATGATCTCCCTGGGGCCTGCTGCCCGTCAGGCTTCCAGTCTGGCCTTCATCGTGGCCTGCCAGCAGATCTTCGGGAAGCTCCTCATATTCAGCTGGTAGTTCAGGCTCTGACCAGCCGCTGTGCTGTTGATGGTTACACAGGGCCCCGGGAGTTCCCAGGGTGGAAGCCAGAGTCACTCTGTGCAGATTCAACAGTTGCATGCAGCCAATTTGCTGGGGGAGGCAGAGCAGATGTGATGATCTTCAGATACACGGATGTCATACACCATTTGGCTCTCTGCCTGCCCATGGTAGATAGGAATTTCCAGAGCCTTGAGCAGTGTGCTCTTTAACCCGGAGATAAACTGAAGGTGGGGTAGTCCGTGGATGGAGACTATCATTCATCCACTCATGTCACATTTTGGAGCACCTGCTGTGTTCCAGGTCAGTGTTCTGAGCACTGGGGTTTCAACAATGAATAAGGCAAAGTCTCTCCCAGGAGGAACTAACATCCCAGTGGGAAGAGACGAGACCAAACACACGCACAGGCAGGCGTGTCACACCCAGTGGGAATAACATGCTATGAAGGACAGTAAGGCTGGGCAAGAAGGATGTCAGGGTGAGCGGGAAGGAAGGGGTGCTATTTTATAGAGGTGTCGGGGGGGCCTCTTTGTGGAGGCGACCTTTGAACAGAGACATGAAGGAAGTGAAGGGTAAGCCATGTGGGCATCCAGGGGAAGAGAACTGTAGGCAAACAAAATAGCAGGTGCAAAGCTCTTGGGGCAGGAGATGCTTGGCACACTCAGGGATCATCGTGGAGAATGGTGGCTGAAGCAGAGGGAGGGAGGGCAGGAGCAAGGGCCAGGGACAGGGCAGAGAGGGTGACCCTGTGGGCCCTGGTGAGGACTCTGGCACTCCGAGTGAAATGGGAACCCCTTAAAAAAAATTTGAGCAGTAGACTGCCGTGATAGGATGCACATTTTTAAAGCAGAACTCCTGCTGCCGTGTCGGGGGTGGGGAGGGAGACAGCATTGCCAAAGTGGAAGCAGAAGGTGAGGTCGGTAGCTACAGCAGTGGTCCCAGGAGGAAGGGTGGTGGCAGAGACCCGGGGGAGGCAGTAGGCTGCTGAGAGGTGATCCTAATGAAATTTTGAAGGAGTTGACGATAGGACTTGCTAATGGGTTGCGCGGAGGCAGGAGGTGGGTGGTGAAAGAAAGAAGTCAACTACAACTCCAAGGTTTGATCTGAGCAACTGGGCAAGTGAGTTGCCCTTTGCTGAGAGGGGAGGGAGACCTTTGGGGGAAGGTACCACAAGTTTGGTTTGGCTGGCTTTCCAGAACTGGGATGAGAGCGGATCGGGGCTGGACCATCACTTGCCCGTTCAAACCCGGGGCAAAAGAGTACTGGTTTTGAGTCCTGGGTGAGGAGGAAGGTGCAAAACAGGGGGCTATTCCAGCATTAAATGAAGTCAAAATGGATTTTAAAACAACAGAAAACTGATAAGATGAGTGAGCCAGAGGCTGGAAGGGACAGGAGTCTTCTCGAGGAGCAGAGAGCTGTGAGGGGCACCAGGGGCTTGGGCGACAAGATCATAGAGCAGGAGCAGTCAGTGAGACCCCTTGAAGGAAGTGGGGACTGACCTGAGTTTCTGCGGAAGATGCCGAGCTTGGAGGGATGGAGAGGGAGAGGTCGTAGGTGCAAGACAGACAAATGAACAGAACCCAGAGCTGGGAAGGATCATGATTTGACTGGAGACCAGTCTGAGGACAAGAGGGGTTGGTGGAGTGGGTGGAGAATTAGGATAGGCCCGCATTATGAAAGGCCTGGAGAGCTCAAAGCTGCAGAGAGGTGCCTGATGGGAGTGTGCGGGAGGAAGTGGACAACCAGAGCGGCGGCTCAGCTGTGCTTTGGCTCGAGTGCCTAACACCTCTGTGTCACAGCCTTTCTTGATGATCTGAAAGTAAACTTGATCTCCACTGTGCTTCTGCCTCCCACCTCTTTACTATTGAACCACGAAACACAGACATCCAGTCCTAAGTAAGAGGAAGACTTGCTAGCAGTCCCCACTATCTGAATTACACCCATTTTCTGGAGCAACCATTTCATAACAGGACTGACTTAAGTTCCCACCGTAGCACATCCCTCTGAAGTCTTTATGTAATGACCAGGCCACTCACAAGTTTGGGTCTACACTAATCCCAGGAGACATGTACTTGTAGTAGGTACTTTTTCCCAGGCAGATGAGGCATCCACAGTGCACAGATATGTAATAATATATATATTACAATAATGTGGGATGATAACCATCTATATTAATACACAGCCATACCTTGGATATACTGTGAGTTGAGCCCCAGACCATCAAAATTAAGCAAATAACGCGAGTCACAAAATTTTTTTTTGGTTTCTCAGTGCATACAAAAGTTATATTTATGCCGTATTATAGTCTATTAAGTGTGCAACAGCATTGTGTCCAAAATACAATGAATATACCTTAATTAAAAAACACTTTATTGGTAAAAAAATGCTAACCATCATCTGACAATGCAGGGTGGCCATAAACCTTCAATTTGTAAAAAAAAAAAAAAAAAAAAAAACTCTCTGGGAAGCCCAATAATATGAGGGTGCCTATAATTACAGAAATAATGTCATTTATGATATATTCATGATAATATTTATAATTGAGATATACATTGTATATTTAAATGTGTGCACTCTTACAAACAGTGCTATCAGGTTACCTGTAAGACATTAAGCTGATATTTTATCTTATGATGCCAAAAGTCAGGAATGGAGTTCTCTGTTCACTTCAGTACTAGGTCCTTTATCAGGTTGCATGAAATAAATGACCTTGTTCCACTGGGTTTCTCATAGGTTGACAGAATAAGTGATATAATTTAATGCTATGTGGATTGTCAGAATTAGTCTCCGTTTTCAAAGGATGATCTTGTTTACTTACGTTTTAAAGTAAATTTCCAATGAAAAGTGTTGTAACCAAAATAACTTGACTTACAGATTACGGACAATTGGCCAGGGTACGACCTGAATTTGTTCACGTACCCACAGCACTATTACGGAGACTTGGACCACGTTCTCATACCTCATGGCATCATTGTGGACAGGTGAGTGCTGCTTCCTGTGTCGGCTTTTGCCTCGCCCTCTCTCGTGTGAATCATGCAGTACACTTGGGGACCCTATTCCTGTGTCTCTTCTGTATGGTGGTAGACAGAACTTTTATAGGACAGAGGATTTGGAATAAAATAAATCTGTGCTTTAACTGAACTGTCTACTGGGTTATTTGTTCAGGGCAAAGAGTAAGAAGGAGAGGCATATGGAAGGTATTAACATCCTAAGTAACAGCCTGTAATTAACAAATGTCCTGTAGAAACTGATTTAAATGGAGGCTGGGAAAGTGTCTCACATTTGCCACAGACTCTTGAGTTAACCAAGGAGGCTTAAGAGGTGACCTCTGCCTTCATAGGCCACACCCCCAAAGCCCCGGGTTTTCCAGCAACTTGCATTTATCTTGGATAAGTCGTGTCTCACAGATCGTGTGCACCATTAGGTTTCCAGTGGTAATGTTTTGGAAATAGGAATATTTGCAACTTAAAAATAACAGCACAGAACTATTTCTCAAATACTATTTCTAGTTCATTCAGACCTGTCTACATAGATATCCTCGGGCTCCTTCCAAGCCAACTGGCTTTCTGAAAGCTAACATTTTTCTCTCCTGTTCTAAATCCCTAAGTCACCTTCATTTGTTTCTTCATTTTCTGAACCTCCTCCAAGTCAACCCACCATAAGCACCAGGATTTATAGGTCCTATTCCTTTAACGAAGCTGCCTTAATGCCCCTGCCATTGCCTTGCCATGGACCTCTAATATCCTGTGCAGAGATCAGATGCTTAAGCCCTCACATCTATATGAAAAGCAAGCTTCGTGGATTTCAGACTCAGACACTGGGGTGGGAGAGGCACTGGGGAGCAGGAGCAGACTGAAACTTGGGGCTCCCCACTCCACCCTTTCCCTTAAACTCTTGTACTTCTGCCTGTATTTTTTTAAAAAGCTGTTATATTCTTCTGAGTTAAAATTTAACTTATGAAATATGTCCTCAGCCAAAGGAAAGTTTGAAAAACACTTGATGGTGGCTATTCCCAGGATATTATCTTTCCATCAATGCCTGTCTGTAAGCAAAAGGAAATGTCATTCTTTCACTCAAGATTTTCTAAGATTTTCCGTTGGATAAGACTTGCACATTGTGTATTCTCTCAAACTATAGTCTGCTATTAAAATAAGATCTGGTTTGGGGTTTCTCACAGCCCTAGGTGGCCTTCCGTGGAACATAAGTTTTGCTCCTCAGAGGGAAAAAAAATTTCTATGATGAAATAAATATGAGAAATTTGGCATCCCCAAAATTGCTAAACCTCCCTGTTGGCAATTCATATTAAAGATACAGATTTCTGCAAAAAAAAAAGGGGGGGGAGGGGTGGGAAGTGAAGAAATCTGCTCAACTTTGACAATTAAACTGACTCTTGTTTTGTAGTGGATGTCTCTGTACTCAGCTCCCCTCCTAATAACTCTCAGAAGTGTCTTGTCTTCACACAAGATTGGGAACCCCCTGGTTTAAACAAATGCCTACTTTGCTCATCTGAAAATTAATTTATGACTTAATGCCACCCTGATCTAGTATGTGACTGAGGTATCATCCTGGCAAAGTAACCAGGTCCCTATACAGGAGACTAACCCAGTGAACTTGCAAAAATGCCTAATCTTAAGCTTTATGTCTGGAAACTCTGAGTCAGTGGTCTGGGGTGGGGCCCCAAGAATGCCCGTCCCTACCTTTAAAATGATTTTATTAAGATATGATTTACATTCCACGAAACTCACCCATTGTAGGTAAATGATTCAGTGATTTTTTAGTACATGTTTATGGCTGGACAACCTTCACCACCATCCTTTTACAATATTTTTATCATCCCCCCAAATTTGCTGTCAATCCCCACCCCGAGGCAATCACTAATCTGATTTCTTTGTATATAGATTTGTCTTTTCTGAGCATTTCATATAAATTAAATAATACAACATCTGATTATTGACTTATCGGTGGATGAAAATTTGGCGGGGGAGGTAATTAGGTTTACTTATTTATTTACTTTAAGAGGGGGTACTGGGGATTGAAGCCAGGACATTGTGTATGCTAAGCATGTGCTCTACTACTTGAGCTATACTCTCCCTCTGGATGAACATTTGTATTTCTAGTTTTTCATAGTTCTAGTACCATGAATAATGCTTCCATGAACATTTGCATATAAATCTTTGTGTGGGCATATCCCTTCACTTCTCTTGAGTGGGTTCCTTGGAGAGGAATTCTGGGTTTTACAGTAAGTTTAAGAAACTGCCAATTATTTTCCAAAGTGGCTGTACCATTTTACCTTCCCACCAGCAATGTCAGAGGGTTCCATTTTCTTCACATACTTGCCAACATTGAGTTTTGTCTGTCTTTACATTATAGCCATTCTAGTGGATATATAAAGGCATTTCACTGTGATTTAAATTTTCATTTTCTTAATGATTAGTGTGCTTGTTAACTATACATCTTCTTTGGAGAGATGCCTATTGAGTCATTTGCCAATTTTGCAGTTCGGTTGTCTTCTTATTGAGTTTTGAGGGTTCTTTATATATTCTGGTTGCAAGTCCTTTATCAAATATATGACTTGCAAATATTTCCCCTTAGTTTGTGGCTTGTCTTTTCATTTTCTTATTGACATCTTTTAAGGAGGATATTGGATGAAGTATTCTATAAATGTCAGCCAGGTCCAGTTGGTACATGGTACTATTCCATTCAACTTTATCCTTACTGGTTTTCTGTTTTGTTGGCTCTGTCAAGTACTCAGTGAGGGATGTTGAAGTCTCCAGCTACAATGGTGAATTCCTCTACTTCTTACAGTTCTATCAGGTTTTTGTGTGTGTGTATATATATATATATATATATATTTTTAATTGAATTATAGTCTCTATCAGTTTTTTGACTCTGTTGTTGGGTGCAGACACACTAAGGACTGCTATGTCTTCCTGGAGAATTGGCCTCTTTTTATTACATCAGTGGCCCTCTTTATTCCTGACAATTTCCTTGCTCTGAAATCTGTTTTGTCTGAAATTAACATACCTACTCCAGCTTTCTTTTGATTATGTTAGCACAGTACATCTTTCTCCATCCCTTTACGTTTAATCTATCTGTGTCTTTATATTTAAAATGGATTTCTTCTGGACAACATATATTAGGGTTTTTTAATCCACTCTGATAGTCTCTGCCTTTAACTGGTGTATTTAGACCACTCACATTTAAAGTGATTATTAACATAGTTGGTTTAAGGCTCTACCGTATTTGTAACTATTTCCTATTCATTGTTCTTGTTCTTTGTTTCTTTTTTTGTCTGCCAGTCTGTGAAAACTGCCTCCCCCACAACGTGTAGCCTCTGATAATGTGCAGTTTATTTTTCTTGTCTTTCTTTGTAAGCCTCACTCACCAGGGTTCATGCCTGTGTCTGAATAGCTTAGTCTTCAGCCTAAGATTGGTTAGAGATTGTACTCAAACACGTCAAGTTCGTGAGGCTTTCGCTCCCTACTGATGAATGGCTGTAGGCGCTGGCAAGCACATTCAAGTTTCCAGCCTTTTTCAAGTCTTCTTGGCTTTTACTTTTTTGTAGGTTTTATTTGGCTTTTTGTGTGTGTGCTGAATTTATTTCTAGTCCGTATATATATATTCCTTTTCATACTCTTTTTCATTATAGGCGATTACAGGCTGTTACAGCAGGACCTTGTTGTTTATCTTTGGCTTGTGCTTTCCACTGAGCTTTCTTGTCTCTCTTGCACATGCTCACAGGCTCCACCCCCCGGGGATGCCTGGGTGGCTGGGCTCACGCGCGTCTCTGCTGTGCACGTGCATAGCTTCCGGTCAACTTGGGATATGAGAAGAGTTTATTGTGTGCCCCTCTCCCGTGACTGTCACCTCCCAGAACTCCCTACCAACTCCGTGACTAGTCTGCCAGTTAGTTGCTCAGGCGGGACCTCAACTTCAGGATAACGGCGCCCTGGCCCTCGCTGTTCCTCAGCTGAGCGGGCTCCCGGTCAGGTGGGCAGTGCCCCACCGTGGCTGAGCCGCCTGGTTGCACAGCGGAGCTGACCGGGGTGGTGGCGGAAATGGGAGCATCCTCAGGCAAGAATGCCGCAGACCTCTGCTGTTTCCACGCGGCGTTCCGTGTCTTCATGAATAAATGCTTCTCAGTTTGGTGCGTGCCTTTGGTTGATTTCCAGAGTGCTGAAACGGTTGTTTTTGACAGTTTTGTCCAACTTTCTACTTGCTTTTTGTGAAGAGGAGGTGTCTACCTCCTCACTCCATCATGCTGGAGACAAGTGTCTCTTTTTATAGAACATCTGGCATGCTGGTGTACATGTTTCACTGATCATATTTTGAGAAGCATTGCCTAAAACCATGGGTTCCCATTTTATATGTATATATGTGTATGCATATACAAACACACACATACAAAACATAAATGTATGCTATAAAGTATATATATTCCATATATAGAACATATGTAATATAATATTTTATTTTTCATATCATTCACTTCATCTATTTTAATTTTAAAATTTTTTAATTGAAGTATAGTCGATTCACTTATTAGTTTTATTAGTAGGAACTTGTCGTTTACCAGTTTATCTATTTTAAATCTAATTCAATTTGAGGTACCAGTGGGAGTTTTTTTATAAAGTATGCACCTTAGATCCTGCCTCTGTTCAAGGTTTTAATGTTACATGGGTGTATGGACAATGGACTTAGAGATATGAAATAATTAGAAAAAATACAGTGACAGTTACAAACTAGGTGTTAGGTGCCAGCCCAAGGCTGCACCATTGACTAACCCAAGGAGGCACCATTCACATTGTGATCCATGGGAATGAGGCCCACTGGGGTTGTACCCTGGGGCACCTTTCACACAGGTAACCTCATCAAATGTAGGACAAATGTTATTTTGATAGCTACCATGGACTTGACTTTCCTCCCAGTCTCCTCTAGTGTTGCAAAGTGGGTGAGTCATTCTCCATTTCCTTTTTCTCTTCTACGAAGTGAGTATAATATCACCACATACCTTCATAGCATTGTCAAGGTTAACAACCAGGCTCTGTAGCAGTCAAATTAGAGCATTCAGGACCTTTGACGTATTTTACACCTTAACCATTTCTGTGATGCAGAGGAGCAAAAAGGTACAGTTGATGAAGTAGTTATCAGAAATATGTTTTGAACACTCTCTCTCTGTCCAACATTAACAAAGCTTCTTTATCTGTGGGCTTCTGTCTTCTCCACATTCTCCTGCATAATCTAACATGTATAATACATCGTGCATTTTTTGAAAGGAACAAAAATACTCAGAAGTAGTTTTGCTTTAATGTATCTTTTAATCCCTTCTTTCAGAATTGAGCGGCTGGCTAAGGATATTATGAAAGACATAGGATACTGTGACATTATGGTCCTGTGTGTGCTTAAAGGAGGCTACAAGTTCTGTGCAGATCTTGTAGAACACCTTAAGAACATTAGTCGAAATTCTGATAGATTCGTCTCTATGAAGGTTGACTTCATCAGATTAAAAAGTTACAGGGTAAGTTATCATTTACTCTGTTTTCATTATATGATGTTTAGAATGAACAGTGTTACAAAAGTCAAAGAAATAATAATATTATGAAAATTAAGAATGTATTTTGGGGTGGGGAGGGTATAGCTCAGTGGTAGAGAGCGTGCCTAGCATGCATGAGGTCCTGGGTTCAATCCCTAGTACCTCCATTAAAATAAACAAATAAATAAACCCAATCCCCCCACTCCCCCACACACTAAAACAACAACCAAAAAAGTTTAAATACTAGAAAAAAGTTAAAAAGAATGTATTTTTTTTTATTTGCAAGATACTACAACCTGTAATTCAAATAACATTCTTTGGCGGTGGGGAGTCTCCTGTCTATTTCACTTATAGGGAAAGATGCTTCAGGAATGATTCATGCTTTCTCTTAACAGTTATAAAGCTGAGTGGTTATTTCCTGGCTCAGTGCCTCACGAATGACTGTGTTGAGAATGAATGTTAAGAAAGTCCAGTGAACGTGGACATGTTTCTGGTCTGGATGTCACTTTTGGCCCCAAAGACCTGTGGGTGGGTGTCCAGCCCAGAGAGGAGTGTTAGGACTTGGGTGACTGCAGTCGGGCCCCGGAGAAAGAGAAGGAAAACCTGTAGGGACAGTGAGTCAAGACCAGGAAACCTCCCACAAAAGGTTCCCCCTCCCCCATCAGTCTGTGCGGGGTTTTCTTGGCCACAGCTGGATGGGACTGAGAGAGATTATTCTCCAAACATGTCATACCCTTAGCCTTCTCCTCTTCTCTCTATGCTTTGTCTTTTGTGATGCTTTTTGATTCAATATATAGTAAGTCATTAAACATTAAAACTAGCTTACTATTGGGTGAGAACTGTAGGAGTCAAAGCCCTGAAAATATCTCCATGTATTAAACTAGCTTTGAATTGTTTTTCTATTGCTTTGGGACAACATCACCACAAACTTAATGCCTTAATCTGACACACACTTATCATCCTACAGTTTTTCAAGGTCAGAAGTTCTCTGCTCAGAGTCCTTCTAGGCTGAAATCAAGGTGTTAGCTGGGGCTTTGATCTCTTCTGAGATTTGGGGTTGTTGGCAGAATTCAATCCCTGTTTCCCTGCTGACTCTAAGCTGGAGACACCTTCAGCTCCTAGAGGCTGCCCTCAGGTCTTTGCCTCATGGACTCCAACACGGGCAGCTCACAGCGGGGCAGGAGAACCTCTCCCTTCAGTCAGACCCAGCCCCCTTTTTTAAAGGCTTACCTGATTAGGTCAGGTTCACCCAGAACAAGCTCTTTCTGATGAACTCAAAGTCCACTGACTAATCACCTAATCATGGGAGTAAATTCCTATCGTATTTACAAGTCTCACCCACGTGCAAGTGGAAGAGGTTATACACACAGCGGTTGCACAGGGGGCAGGACTGGGAGGGGCATCTTAGAACTCTGTCTACCATTCTCTTTCTGTGACTCAGTTGCTTCTGCTTTAGAGCAGCTGGCAAATTATTTCTAATTTCTTAAGATACTCTCAGTTTTCCTGACGACCTCTCAGGCCAGGATAAAACTTTTTTTTTTCTGTTCTGTTTTGGTTTTTTGCACACATCTTAACACGAATGTATTGGTTTCATCTTCTCTTGAAAACCTTTTTCTCTCTTTAGGTGCCTTTCCTTCTGGATTAAGTAGCTGTGCTTCCTTCTTAGATTTTTTTTTCCCCTCATTTACTTGACTCTGATCCTTTTCATATCTTTCCCCAGCAAACAGATTTTTTTAAAAATCTTTAGAAATATTTTAAAAAGTTAGTCAGGTTTATTGAGGCCTAATTTACATGCAATAGAATTTATCTTTTAGTTTGTAGTTCTCTGAGTTTTGACAAATGCATACGGTCGTGTAAATCACCACAATCAAGACATGGAACAGCCCTGACCACAAAAAATGCTCTTGTGTCCCTTTGTAGGCAACCCTTTCTCCAACCTCCAGGCTCTGGCAACCACTGGTATGTTTTCTGTCCCCAGAGTTTTGTTCTTTTCAGAATATCATATAATGTAATCAAATGCCATGTGGCCTTTGTAAATCTGTGAAGCTTGGCATCATTCATTTGAAATTCACCCCTATTGTCATATGTTCCAGTAGTTCAGTTCTTATTGTCAAGTAGGATTTTATCATATTGCTATGCCAGTTTTTAAATCATTCATCAGCTGAAGGACATGTGGTTTGTTTCCTTTTGGGGGTGATTATGAATAAAGCTGCTATAAATATTCACATGCAGGTTTCTGTGTTTACTTATATCTTTGTTTCTCTTGAGTAAATTTGACTTGAGATTGCTAAGTCATATGGGGGGTGTAGATAAGGAATTGCCAAACTGTTTTCCAAAGTAAGAATTGAATAGTTCTGCATCCTCGCCAGCAGGGTGTGAGAGTTCCAGTTGCTCCACATTTTCAGCAACACTTGGTATTGTCAGTTTTTCTTTTCTTTCTTTTTTCTTTATTTTCTTTGTTTTACCCATTCAGATAGCTGACAGTATCTCACTGTGGTCTTGATGTGCATTTCCCTAATGAGTAATGATGTTGAGCATCCTTCCATTTGCTTATTTGTTGTTCATATTGCTTCTTTGATGAAATGTTTGTTCAAATATCTTGCTCATTTTAAAAATTGGGTTGATTTCTTTCTATTGAATTTTGAGAGTTCAATATACAAGTCCTTTATTAATATGTGTTTTGAATATATTTTCCAGCCAGTGAGTTGTTTTTTCATTTTCATTAGAGAGCTATTTTTTTCAAAGAGCATAACTTACAAATTTTTATAAACTCTAATTTATCAGCTTTTCCTTTTGTGGATCAAGCTTTTTGTGTATCTAAGTAATGTTTGCCTAATTCAGGGTCATGAAGACTTTATCCTCTGTTTTCTTTGAGAGGTTTCCTAGTTTTTAGGTTTAAATCTAGGTTTATGATCCATGTTGTGTTATTTATTAATATGGTACAGGTTATGGTTCCTTTTTTTTTTTTGCAATTGAATGTCCAATTGTTCCAAGATCATTTGATGAAAAGACTATTTTTTTCCACTGAATTGCCTTTGATCTTTCATTGAAAATCAATCGAATATGTATGCATGAGTCTATTTCTGAACACTCTATCCAGTTTTATGCATCTTTGTTTGTCCTTTTGTCAGCACCACACTGCTTTGATTACTGCAGCTGTATAATAAAACAAGTCTGGAAATCAGGTAGCATGCGTCCTCCAACTTTGTTCTTTTTCATAATTATTTCAGAGATTCTAGTTGTTTGCCTTTACATATAAATTTAAAAATCGCGATGTTGATTTCTACAGAATAACATGTTAGAATTTTTATTTTATTGGGAATGCTTTGATCCTGTAGATTAATTTGGGGAGACTTAACATCTTAACACTATTTAGTCTTACAATCCATGAACAGGACCTATTTCCCAACTTATTTATGTCGTATTTAATATCACTCTTTTCTAGTTTTCCAGAGTCAGATCTTAGATATATTTGGTTAGATTTATACCTAAATATTTAATGGTTTTTAATTCTATTGTTACCAAATCAGGTTCATTTGCCCAACGTGCAGTAAGCCAAACACTGACATGCCAAGGTTTGCACAGACTAAGGGTTTATTCCCAAGGCAGCCAAGCAGGGAAGTGACAGAACAAGTCTCAGATCTGCCTCCTGGAAGGCTAGAAGCTGGATATTTATGGGACAAGGAAGCGAGGTGGTCTGAGACGTGAGGAAAGATAATTGGAGTCAAGAAAAAGGTGAAGTAATCTGTGTTCTGCACAGGTGTATCTGAGTTACATGCTTCTTCTTGGGATGCATGTTCAGAAAATCATGGTGTTAGCATGATCTGGAGTGGAGTTTGGGGCCCTGTGACGTCAAAAAGTCACCCATCAGACACTTGCGCAGGCCAAGCTTAATGGTGGGTGGTCTCAACTGGCTTGACCTGAGCAAGACTAACTCTACATTCTTGAAATACAACTTAACGGTACTATAGCAACCCAACATCAGAGGTGTTATCTGTAGGGGGCGGGTGGAGGAGTCTTGTGATCCATTGTCTAAGATACGTGAAGCTTGGAGAGTATGCGACTTGCAAGGACAATTAAAGCATTAAAGCGAGCTTAGTCAGTGAGGGCAAGTTACAGGATGTTATTTATTAAACAAGTTATAGTTTAAGGGATCTAACTGATGACTACCCTCGGTTTCACTGTTATATATGGTAAGTTTTTCTTTGAATTTTGATTTCCAGTTGTCTATTGCCAAAATACAGAAATACTGTTAAATATTTAGTAATTAATCGTAACTTTTCAAAACACTTACTAGTTCCAGTAGCTTTTTTTGTAGATGCTTTTGGATTTTTCTATGAAGACAGTAATTTCTTCTGTGAATAGAGATGATTTTCCTTCTTTCTTTCTAATTTGTATACTTTTTATTTCTTGTTATTGCGTTGTTATTGCACTGGCTGGGACTTCCGGTACTATTCTGAATAGAAATAATGAAGGAAACATTCTTGCCTTGTTCGCAGTCAGTATGATATTAACTGTTGCATCCCTGATTTTTTGATGTATTGTCTTCATTTTCATCCAACTCAAACTTTTCAGATTTCCTTTTTCACTCATGGATTATTTCTTGTGTTCAATTGCCAAATATTTGGGGATTTTCCAGAGATAGTTCTGTTTGATTTCTAGTTTAATTCTGTCACAGAAACTATACTTTATGTGATTTCAATTCTTTTAAATTTGTTGAGTCTTGTTTTATGACCCAGAATGTGGTCAATCTTGCTGAAACTAATAGCATCATAAACCATGTCAGATTAAATAATGCTGCTGCCTCTCACTGTACCATTTCTCTAAATATCCTCTCTCTACTTTATCAGGGTTTTAACCTAGAGGAACAGATTCTGACACTCACTATCTCACGTTTATGTGATGCTAGTTCAGAACAAGCATTTGCATGTGTGCAGCTGCAGTGCTGGTGACGATCATTTTTGCTGCATGTAGACAGATGCTTT